AAAGGGGGGGGGGGGGGTGGTCGAGGAAGGCGGAGCTCGATCGAACCGACGTACGAAAGGCATAATTGTAATAAAAAGTTCCTCACTGAAGCTGCGTTTGCTTCGTGGACCTGCGGCCTCTTACCGCAGGCGTCCACGCTGGCAAGCGTCGCCCACCACAAGAACAGACTGCCATTGACTTGAAAAAAAAAAAAATTAAAAAAAAAAAAAGAAAAAATGTACACGTTTGTAATGAATACATATACAAAGGACAAAAAAAAAGTGATAGGAAATAAAAGAGGTGATCGATTATGTCCGATCGGAACTTCGATTAGGATGCGCTTTTGGAGCTCGCGGTAAAAGATATCGCGGCGCGTTTTGCATGCCTGAGGAGGTCGCAGTGTCTGTTTAACCGTGTGTTTCGATTTCTGTCAATCGTGCGTCTGAATGTTATTGATTACGTGCGTTGCGAGTGTGCATGTTTATTGGGAATGGCCATCGCTGGAATCTAAATTATCGATTGAATTTCGATTTAGGAAAGGAAAAAAAAAATAGGAATAGGTAAACTAATTTATTTTTGTTCGATTTTCAATTTTAAATTTCCCGCCATTTTCGTCAACTCTCGTAGGACACGAATTCTCAATGACGGATAGCGTTTACCCGTTTGTGTAGCAAGTCGGGGAACATTAAAGCGACTGGACGATACTATACACGAGAGGGATATGTGTTTCCATAAGACGTGAGCGAATGTTGGTGCGAATGAAAAGTTAGGTGGAACAAAAGAGAAAAGTGGAAACGTGCAAGTGACCGAATCACTGATAATTTCGTGGATCGGGACAACCTAACCTAGCGACGGCTTAACGGAAAACGAAAAATCGATGCACCAGTAAGAGAGAGTGAGAGAGCGAAAGAGTATGAAAGAGAGAGAGATATATATATATATATATATATATATATATATATATATATATATATATATATATATATATATATAGGGAAAGAAAAACATAGTGTTAAGTCACGTGTAAGAATATCGTGAAAATTTGTAGACAACGAAGAAGAGATAAGTCTTCTTCTCGTCGTCGACAATAAAAGGCCAGAATTCACAAAGTCAGAAAAAGATACGAGTGCGCGTCCTCTCGATCGGCGTGACAGAAATGAAACGTATATATATATATGTATATATATATATATATATATAGTGAAAAAAGAGAGAGAGAAGTAGAAGGGAGAGTTTAAGAGGATTAGAGAAAAAAAAGAAAGAAAAGAAGAAGAATAACATAAATCTCTGTGATGTATTTATATAACTTCATTATATTATTATGATTATTATTTACTGATATATTACTATAACTGTAACGAATAACATTTAAACGTACGACTTATGGATATAACGTGTAGCTCGTCATTTATTGTTAAAGTGATATGCTTTACTTGCGTACACTCTCTAATTTTTATATCTTCACCGTAATTAACTTCAATTTAGGTAGAATCTTCGCCCTTAATGTGTAACGGCATGATTTCCCTAAGAACATAACCTAACCTTAACACACGCGTGACACTGGTATACATGTGAAAAAGAAATCGGTACCTTCCGATGCCGACGATAATACGAAATAAGGTGGAACGTGATAAAAGATACACAAGGGTGGAAGAAATGTACCGAAGAAAAAATAAAAGTGAAGAAAATCGCGTCGTTCACGGCAATATTTTCCATTCGGGGTCTTTGGCGCGCGGGGATGGACGACCGTTGGCGAAGATACGAACGATGGAGCGAGAAAGAGACGGTCGATGAGGGAAAAAGAGAAGAAAGAGAAAAAAGTCGACAAGGAACGTCGAACGAGGTGACGCGAGCGGGACGAGAACTAAGATCGTCAAAGTAGCATCGGGCGTTTAATTAAGAGGCTCACGTAAATTTGATATTAGGATTGCGAAGAAATACGTAAAATTGTGAGAAAATAAATTTGGACTTAAGCGAATTAGCTTAGAACACCGAACTCTGGTATCGTCACGGGGAATCGGTAGATAGACGTGATTAATTCGATGATGAATAAATTAGGCAAAATTATGTGTGAAATTAAAAAAGAGAGAAATATTATTAGGCACCTTAGACATTTCTAATGTATAAGTAGACCAAATTTCGAGAGCGTTTACGTGCGTTTGACGATTTTAGTCGTGGCACTCCGGTACGTGATATCGAACGATACACTCTCCGGTCGATTAATATCGATTTTTCGAAGGATCGATCGAGCAGTCAATCGATACGTGGATAACCTGCTGAATTATTTGCATCGAGCGGGAACACGGTAAATTAACTAACGGAGCGGCTAGTGAGTCACGTTAACTGGATGTCTGATTGGGTAATACGTGTGAATTGGTGTACGAGTGAATTAAACGAGGGAACGAATGGACTAGCGGAATCTTTCGTGCGCATGCGCACTGCGTCGGGTCTGTTGAACGTGGGAACGAATGAACGTGCAAAAGTCAATGACAATTTATTGTGCACGAAAGATGACTGTACGTCTTGCATGTATACGATACGTGTGTACGCACGAGACGAGGAGAATCCTTCAGAGATCCTGAGCTAATCGTCAGCTAATCATCATATTATTAATAATAAGTAAAAAAAGAAAAAAAGAAAAACAGCAGACGACAACAGAAAAATTAATAAATTAAAAAACCTATGATTATTATCGTATGAAAATAATATATACGATCCACGAAGGGAACCTGACTGTACCGGAAGACCCTTGCACAGTTACTCATCTTCTTGCCGAAGGAAAGTCTCCGATTCTTTATTCGTCGGGAGTTTCCATTGCGTGAACAAATATCATTCGATCTATTTACTGCATCGTGTATATATACAGTGTGTATGTTTAAACATGGCTGAAAAAAGGTATGTGCATGGGACTTCGCATGTCGTAAGTGTCGCCTTCGATCGTTACGTATGTCTTCATACCATTTGCATATTGCTTTATTGTTACAACATTATACATTACATGAGGATTAAAGAAAAATAATAAATTAAAAAAGAATAGTACATGGTACGCATTGATCTACCGTGTGTTCCAAATGTAACGTTATACGGGTTCATACGGATTCGTTGTTGGGTATGGTAATTGATTTTCTGATATCTTTAAAATTTACATACTTTTCACTTTTTTATTTGACAATTATCAAGTTTGTTGGCCATTCGAAAGGGGGGAAAAAAATGTACGGATACTCATACATACGATTCAAGGCTAATAAGTATATGCTCCGTTTATGGGGCTGCTAGAATTTTTCTCTCACGTGGCCACGACCAACTTTTTTTCGGGAACTCTTGGAACACGCGGTATAATATATCGAAATACTACACGGTATGTTTATGTATTTACAAAATGAGAAGAGAAAAAAAACACATGAAACTAAGAGAAAGAACGAAGAAGACAATTTACTTTCCTTTTTCTACACGTTTTGTATATTTCCAGTAATTATTGATTAGAAGTGGTGTGTAATTATTATTATTAATTTACTATTAATCTACGATTTTATTAAGCACTCTAATTATATTATAATATTACATTTAATTATTATTATCATCATTATCATCATTACGATTATTGTTATATTATTGATACAACGTTGCCGTTTGATTCGCGCTTCATCGTTCATATACGTACCTGTACTTCGGCAGGCGAAATCGGCTCGACTCGGCAAATTTATTATTTTTTTTAATTCGAATATTTTACGTGACTTTTTAATCCAAGTCAACGTATTGCTTAGAGGGATTTATCTTTATTTTTTTGTTTTGTTATTTTATCGGAAAAATTTGACGTCACAACAATTTACCCTATTGACATTTTTCGATTGTCATCAATAGACTGAGAATGGCTGTACGATCGAATGGCCGCTTACGCTTTGTCGTATTTTCGTGAAAATATGAAAATAAATAAATTCGAGGACGATCGGCAGCGCTAATCGAACGGCAATGTTAGAGAATCGACATTATTGTCGTCGTAAACGTTTAAATAGTGAACCTCGCAAATCTGGCTGCGCTGGGCAAGCAATCGAACGATTTCTTAGAAGTTAATGCGGCCGAGAGATTACGCCAAGAGAAGTACAAATTATTAAAGAAAATGAAAAAAAAAAAGTGAAAAAAAAAGATAATAATAATAAAGCGAAAGAAATGAAAACACGAAAGTAATAAAGCTAACGGGAGAGATCCAGAACGAGTAGAACTGCGACCAATGTGAATGAGGTGTAACGTCTGATTTAAGTTTTGTCGCTTTTTATTTCTTATCCTTAAGTATATTATTGCTTGTAACATTTAATTCGAAATACCTTGAATAAAAAAATAATGAATAACATTACCTGTCATTTCATTGTTTACCATGAATATTTAGCAAAGAAAAATAACAATAACATCTGTCAACGTCAAATATATTTATATTGAAAAACATAAGAAATATACATGTACGACTCTCGGATATAGTCGATTCAGATAACTTCAGGTGGTACGAGTTATCGATACTTTATATCCATCGACCGATCGAACCGATATATCAGTTTTCAATCGGATCGTCTCCATCGAGCCTTTCGCTGTTATTTGATATTTTCTGACAATAGTGCCAATAATAATTTTCATACTCATAATTGCGTATTTTTGACCTGAAAGAATTATCAAAATTTTCTCTTGTCCAAATTTTCATTTTGAAAACTATCCAATCTAACTTACCGATGCAGCTTCTGGTACCGGCACTGAATGGCACGAAGCTATAGTGATGCCGATTTTGCGAATTCTCGGGCAAAAATCGTTCCGGTATAAATTTTTCCGGTTCCATCCAATATTTTGGACTTCGATGCGTCACGAACGGGACCATCGCCACGGAACAGCCTTTCGGAAGCGTGCACGATTCTAAGGTAAATTCACAGAGTCAATTGACGTATAGGGTATTGACATTCTTTATATTCAATAATCATTTACCAAGTTCAACGTCGCCCGTGAGTTCTCTCACGAACATTGGAGCTATAGGGAACAAACGTAGCGTCTCTTTTATTACCATTTCGAGATACTTCAATTCTGGAATCATTTCCATAGTAATATCCTTCGTTCCCACAACGTCCTTCAACTCTGCTCGCACTTTGTCCTGTAGACAATGCCATTTCTTTATACACGGGTAAACGCAGTGCAACGTTACCTTTTAGGTATCCAACAAAGTAAATACAAACCTGTGTGTCGCTGTGCATGCCCAGTAAGAGTAGTGCAAACGCGCTGACCAAGCCCGTCGTGTCTTGTGCCTGGAAGAATAATACTCGGATAAATGCAAAAATGCTTAATAATTATTAAAATCAAAATAATTTTATTACAGCAGTAAATACGGTGTATATCTCGTCTCGCAGTTCCTCGTCGTTCATCACGTGGGTATTTTCCACGTAGGTTATCAGCTGTTCCAAGATCATCGTTCTGGGCCTATTGGATATCAATGCGCCACGCTCCAAAGCATAGTGCTCCTTTTTCTTACGTTCTATCGCAGATTCTGTAAAACCTTGAATTACATTTTGTCCTATTTTCTCTTGCGCTCTGTACTCTGTCCATGAATAGATCCATTCGGGATGCAGCCAGACTTTCATTATTCTCGTATGAATGACTTCGTACATTCTGCCAGTAAAAGGGGTATATGAAAATTAATTTTTGGAATTTAAAAAAAAATTTTAACGAGTCTTTGGATTTTAATCACTTTTCATGTTGTTATTATTATTACCTTTCGGCCCAATGCATCAATTGTTTGTATCCACCCCTTTGTACTGTACCAGGTATACCCATTACGGTTTCTAAAAATATTTTGTTTATATTTTTTTTATTTTTATTTTTTTATTATCATTCATTTATTGAATATTCTTACCCAGTGTTATGTCGGCTGCACAGTGTGCGGTAAATGGCAAAATATCAAATTCTCCGGTATCTACCATCTCTTCGAGCTGATTTGCACAGTATTTGCTGTGTTCGTTAAAATACTGTATGAACACTTCCAGAACCCTTACGTTTAACATAGGCATGATGATTTTACGATGAGTTCTGTGCGTTGGCCCTGAATATCAATCCTTTGTAATGTAACGTTATTACTTCGTGTTACGTAATTTTTGAAATTTTCATTTTATTTTAAAATACCTGAACCGCTCACAAGACCTTCGCCGATGAAGGGTTTCATAAAACGATAAAAGGCACCCTTGTGCGATGCTTTCGGACTCGTAAGAATTACCTGAAAACAGATTTGATAAATTTCCGAAATTTTTTTTTATCAATTCAATAAATTAATCTTTCCTTACCTCGTAATCTCGAGGATCCGTTATAGCAACGAAGAGTTTCGGTCCCATCCAAACTCGAAATATGGGACCGTAATTGCACAAACTTGTTACTACATTTAATGTTTCTAAAAAAGAGAGTAATCGAGCAATCATACCCGACAGCGATAATTGATAACAAATCTTATTTAATCATACCGGTCGAGCTACATGCAAATGCCAATGCATTCCCGATTAATGGCAAGGTTGGCGGTCCTGGTAGTTTTTTCGAAAATTCTATGAGTCTGATTCTTCGATTTCGCCATTCCAAAATTACTTTTGCCAGCCAAACCCCGATCAAAATGATTAACGTGACGGAAATCATATCTGTGAAAATTTATTAAATTCATCGATATATCTCGTGAACGTATCCAAATTTTAAATAATATTGAAAATTTTATTTAACGCTTTTAAGCCATTTAAAATTTTCTCATAACATTTCAACCTAGTCTTACCTTTGCAATTACTTATTGTTAGTACCATACCCTCCTATTTAGCACAGTCACGTATAATCAGTTAATCTTACCACACAATTGATCCATAATAATATAACTTGCCACATAGCATTGCCGCACCCGTTAAACGATTTCCAGTACGTTCTCAATTGTTCTTATAGGTACTTCATATACCAGAAGTATATAATTTTACAATAATTTTTAAAATTAAATTTTATACTATGTGATAATGTTATACGATTTGCTAAAAAAAAAAATAACTCATTTTTCACTTACGAAAATCAAAATATTTCCATGGCGTAATCAAGGAACCGTATATGAGACGTCGCGTGTATGACCAAGACATTTTGAAAAGTATAATAAATAAAAAAGATGTTCTGTCGAAAAGCCACTATTAAAATTTTGATCTATTTCTTACTGGAAACTATAAAAGATTTAAAATGAATTTCTTCGAAGACGACAAAGAGCCATCGTTATAAGTCTACGGCTAAGAGGTTACTGTTTGTTCGACACGTGAGTAAGGTACTTATACGTACCATTTTATATTTGGAACGTATCTTTAGTATGCCTGACTGTACTAATGCAAAATAGAAGCATGTAGGTACCCACACTCGCAAGGGTAACGTTGAAATCCTTGAAGAGACGTTCGCTTCACGTCAATTATTTTAATTCATTATGCAACTCGATGTCTTTTTCAAATTATTACTTACTCAAATCATAGCAAGAGCTGGGAACTTTTTGAATACTCAGGTATCAAATTTTCACGGATATTATCGACAGTGCATAATATATCCATTATGTATATGGAATTCGATGTAGGTTAAGTTAATTTGAAAAAATACGATAAATTTCGGGTCGCATTACTTTTTCAATTTTAGGTTAATTTTTGCGAAATTTGTATTGACGTAATTGTTAACCTCGCATAATGTGATAAAATCCGGTTTGAGAATGAATTTTTGTAAAAATTATGTTATTTATGATTTTTGTTGACATTTTACTCGCACGGTAAGTAAGAGATCTGGGCTTCTTATTACCATGCGAGTAGAATGTCAACGAACATCATAAATAACAGGACTTTTACAGAGATTTGTTTTGGCACGTCTCTCTCTTGAGGAGGAAATGATAAAGAGAAAAAGACGAGGAAGAAGCAGACGGAGATATTCTTTTCCATATGGGAGATCCGCATATATTTTGCAGGATTAAAAATAATTTTGACGTTCGGCTCTTTCAGTTTTTATTTGATAACTGCGAGAGCCGTGCCCGGAGTCCCATAAAATAATAATTTAGCTTTATATTTTGAAAAAATTAAATTACAAGATTACTAAAAGATAAAAGTATCACGAAATTACTTACTCAAGGAATAACCATAATTTACATGCGGGTCACGTATTTTACAAAATATATATAAAAAGTAACCTTTCCTTGAACCTACATCTCCTTCGTTGCAAATACTACTGAGGTCATCATGTGCTAGAAATTAAGGAAAAACCGGTTGCGCTCGTACAAGATCAAGTATTCGTTATGAAGGGTACTGCGCTATTTACCAATGCCCTTTATATGCCTTGTTTAACTGCACGTGTGATTTTTTAAAAAAATTACAATTTTTTACAATCAACTGTGTCCTTTTTCTTCATCCCGAGCGTTTACATATACGTATATTTAATTTGGAGTCTTCATTGACTGAGTGAGAAATTCGCGGCTACCGGAGTTGTCAATCAATTATTATACGGCGTATACGCGGGTCCCTCTTGCCATTCATGATCTCCAACCTAAATATAGAGTGACACTGTGGCACTAATTTGTTGAATGGACCAATAGGTGCCTTGTTGCAATGGGGGAGCTCTACGCCATTGCAGGGTAGAACATCTAAGTACAGTACAAATCTGTGGACACTCGGTTAGTCAACTGCGTTTATAAACGTAACAATACATATAAGACACGTTCGATCGACTGTCGTCAATATATTGATTTGTGATTGTAAATCGTCGATTAGGAAGACACGTTAAGAAGGTACTTTAATATAAATTGTCATTGTGAAGTTTTTCTTCTTTCTCCTATAAAACGACTGCTGTCAACAGTTACTTTAAATTACGTGCTTCCACGTATTAAGCCATAGTGGTTAGTTGGACCTTTTTTGAAAAATCGTCACGTAGGAATCAACATATAAATACATTAAAGTTTCATAGATATAAACGAAAGAATTTTTTTTATACAAAATTTCATACTAATTAGACGTTTACAAAAAAAGTATTTTTTTTTGTATTTTAAAAATTATGTAAATTTACTTATTCTTGCTCACTGAAAAATAATCGTATATTTCTTTTAGTCACCAGTCGAATCAAATTTTTGTCATCCGGTAGAAAAAAAATACTCGTTATAGGATATCTGATCCTTGAAAGTAGCCGTAAAAAAAAAAAGAGGACAAGGTTGCCCGATAGGAACGACGTTGGTAAATCGGTTATTCCCGGAAGTGGCTCGTTGCCCGTCATCCATCATCATCAAGACCCTTGCTCAAATGTGCTTCACGTGACGACGCTGACAACTGCACGTTTAAGGATCAGCAATGCTAACTTCCCTTCCATAAGAACGACTTTGAATTCGTAGATCGCGAAGATCGTCCTCGTAGTATATTCACCAAGCCCGATTGCCCTTGTGTTGGCAGATCTTATCGAGTTTGGTACGACATGACGTAAATCTTGTTATTCGGAAATTCGTCAGGACTCATTATGCCTTCGAGCGACTCGGCCGGTCGCTCACGCGTTGACAGGTCAACGAGTCCTTTACCAAGAAAACCAGCAAATCCTGTTCAGGAACTGAAGGCGCTATTTGCCGAACCACCATTGAGGTACACGAATAGCGACAAGGAGCAGGACTTCCGGTTGAAGGATATTCAGAGTCTTCAAACAGTGGAAACGAAAAATAGTGAAGAACTGCCTGACCGGGGAAGTTGGAGCAGTAAGGTAAACAGCTTGATAAAATACTAATGGTATCGTCTAATTTGAGGTTATATTTTTACACTAATTTTACTCAGGTCGAGTTCATACTTTCCGTTGTGGGGTTAGCCATTGGCTTAGGAAATCTATGGCGCTTTCCGTATCTATGTTACAAGAACGGTGGCGGTGCGTTTATGGTGCCTTATTTCATTGCTCTAGCACTTGCCGGAATACCAATGTTTTTTATGGAATTAGCTCTGGGACAGATGATGACCATAGGTGGTCTGGGAGTCTTTAAGATAGCTCCGATATTCAAAGGTTTGATAAATCTTTAAAAAAACTACCGATTTTTCGTAGAATCGACGACTAGTGACATAACCTTACTTTTATTCATTGTGTCGCTTAAAATAATCCTGGGGAAAATACTATTCACAGGCATTGGCTATGCTACGTGCGTACTATCGTGCTGGACGAACGTATACTACATAATAATTCTAGCATGGGCACTCTTCTACTTCTTAGTTTCACTTCGTGCCGGTAAGTGGTGGCGTCGCGCCTCGTTTTCTCTACTTTGGCGAATTTTCATGCGTCAAATCGTACGAGGCAACCCTGATTCTTAGAACAGCACGGCACGTTGTGCTTCCTCATGATGTCATTATATTCAAATGAGGATTCAAGGAATCTGGGGAAATTCCACAGTTGCAGTTATCCTTTATAAAAACACAATAATCGTATTCCCTGATCGTTGTATGTCAGTCCGATGAATTCGTTAAAATTATTCTTGATATTTTTAGACATTCCATGGAGAACTTGTGATAATCCATGGAACACCAGATACTGCATTACACCTTCGGAAAGATTAAACGCAGTTTGCTGGTTCGACGGACTGGAGACAGTATGTTCCACATCTGTGGGAAATTTGAGTCAAGTCCTACTTAAAGATCCTGTCAAAGAATTTTGGGAGTACGTATTCCAGTTGGGGATGATCTTTGAAAATTTGGAAAAAGTACAATTTTTTGTTTTTATTTTTTTTTTGAAAATCAGGAGGCGCACTCTTCAGATTTCTAGCGGAGTCGAAGACGTTGGTGGTATACGATGGGAATTAGCTGGCACTCTTGCTATTGTGTGGATAATGTGTTACTTTTGTATTTGGAAAGGAGTGAAGTGGACAGGAAAAGTAATTATTTAGAAAAAGTTAAAATTGACCATGAAGATTTAAATTGTCGATTAAAAATTCTATGAGAATGTTTATCTTGTTTATAGGTTGTTTACTTCACGTCCTTATTCCCATATGCTCTTCTAGCCGTTTTATTAGTCAGGGGTCTGACACTTCCTGGAGCAATGGAAGGATTGAGGTATTACGCTACACCGAATTTGTCAAAACTCGGTGATCCTGAGGTGAGTTTAGGAAATTTAATAATTTTATTAAAATTATTTATCTGCAATTTTCGCATCGCGTGTTACATACTTTTCATTAATCAGGTGTGGATTGATGCTGTGACCCAAATTTTTTTCTCTTACGCTCTGGGCCTTGGTGCTCTGGTTGCTCTTGGCAGCTACAACAAATTTAATAACAACGTTTACAAGTGAGTATCGTGACCGACAGAAGCGGTTAATGAAATATCACAGGGTAGAAATTCAGTGATATCTGAGAAGATCTAAATGACTGTCGAAATATTTTTTTTCTATTATCGTGCGATAATATTTAAATTGTTAAAGCTCACGCGAAGCGGCAATTACTTTCTTGTTTTTAATGATGAATTGATTACAGAGATGCCCTTATCGTGTGTACAATTAATTCCGGTACCAGTATGCTGAGTGGAGTTGTCATATTCTCCGTCGTTGGATTTATGGCGCACGAGCAACAGAAGCCTGTTGCTGACGTTGCTGCTTCCGGTAAAACGAAACCTGAAATAATAGTGTGGAATGAATATGTCAATTAGAAAATTGAAATAAATTCGTTTAAAAATATATTTTATGCAGGTCCGGGATTAGCATTTTTAGTTTATCCTTCAGCTGTTCTTCAACTTCCGGGTGCACCAATATGGTCGTGTCTTTTCTTCTTTATGTTGCTTCTTATTGGACTGGACAGTCAAGTAATTATTATATAATCGAATTTATGTTACTAGATTTAAAAGAACAAAGAGCCATTTTAACCTCAATTTTTCCTCGACAGTTTTGCACGGTCGAAGGTTTTATAACAGCAGCAGTAGACGAATGGCCACAGCTCTTAAGAAAGCGGAAGGAAATTTTCATTGCCATTGTCTGCTTCTTGTCTTTTCTCGTCGGTCTATTGTGTGTGACAGATGTAAGTATTATTGATAATTGATATAAAGTTCTACTAAAAACGAAATAATATTTCAGGGTGGCATGTACGTCTTTCAACTGCTGGATTCTTACGCGGTTAGTGGATTTTGTCTTCTTTTCTTAATGTTTTTTGAATGTATTGCTGTTTCATGGGCTTTTGGAGTAAATCGATTTTATGATGGTATCCGTGATATGATCGGCTACTATCCATGTTTCTGGTGGAAAATATGTTGGACATTTACAACACCCGCTATATGCATAGTAAGTACATATAATGTATCGCCTTATAAATTCAATATTTTTCTTACAACATTAATTTCAGGGTGTTTTCATATTTAATATTATTAAATTCGTACCTGTCAAATATCTCACGTATGAATATCCCTGGTGGAGTCATGTATTGGGATGGCTCTGCGGTTTGTCATCAATGATGTGTATTCCTGGCTATATGATTTATATCTGGTGTGTTACGCCTGGAAGTGCGTCAGAGGTATCAATTTAGTAATACGAAATTATATTTTAAAAAGGCTTATTAACTTTTGCGAAATTAAAATTTATCTTGTATGATCATAATTATCTTCCTTTCAGAAATACCGAAAGTTAGTGAAAATAGAAGACGATATTGCGACGTTACGGAAAAAACTAAATCCGACTAAGGCTGCTACGATTAAAGAATTTGAATTTTAGCTTAAAGCATATCATGAATTTTATGACGTGTATTATTGACGGTATTATGTGTTGAAGAATGAAAGAGTAGGAATGTGTTTTCATGTTGATTTAGAATTCAAGGCATAGAGAGTATGTTCAATATTATATTACTATATACACAATACAAGTAGTATATAGATATGCAAAAGCATTACATACGAGTTAGAGATGAGTGATGTGGAAATGACAGATTTGATGCAAATAACTTTATTCTTAAACAAATAAATAATCTTATACATCTTTCCTAATAATATTATCGAAAATAATGCATACTATATATGTATGATGTTGTAAAATGTTATTAATGCATAATATTTTGTTATGAACTATAATGTTTGAGTGTTGGAAGTTTATCAACGATGCTTTGATTCTTAATCCAATGGTATTTAACTTTATAACCAGATAATATTTGCTTTAATTGATCTAATTATCTCTGTTTTGCATTTCCTTAATCCTATCAATCAGTTGCTGCTTCCACTGCTCTTCGGAGACTGTGTTAGCCCACTCTGGAATTGCAGTGGTCGGTAGAGTAAAAGATGCCATAGCAGATTTTACTTGATTGATCTTGTCAGCATCTAAATCAATATTAGATCGATCGCATGAAGAAGACCAGACTTGTAATGTTTCAAAAGAAGGCTCCTAGAAATATTACATCATTAACAGTGATATATTCAAGTATAAATACATTTATAATCTATTTTAATTTTTGTACCTGTGGCTCATCAACTGAACTCCCTGGAAGTATTTCATTTGAGTTTACTGGTGCTGAAATCCACTCCTCATCCTGAAATAGAAATGTATTAAAAGAAACTAAAAGAATACAGTTACTTCAGAAGACGTACTTCATCATCTAACATTGGATCACTGTCAGCCGGTACTTGGGACAGTGGCATATAACCAGCTGCTCCAATATCTTCATCCTCACTGTCTGATTCATTCATGGCTCTTACACCCAATGAGAGGTTAGGAGCATTAAGATTTTCTTTCATAGGTTCCTGGGATGGTTCTGGAGACATTGTCTTTTACAATTAAAAAAATATACCTGTAGTAAAGAGTCTTATGTAAATTACTATGTTTTGGATGCATTAAGCTTGTATTATTGTTACAATCTCTAGCAAATCAACTTACTCTTACATATTTTTAACGTATTCTTCGTTCTTGAGCCCAATTAGGAACGATATTTTTATTACATATACAAAGTGCCAACACAATTTGACAAACCAGTACGATTACATCGAGATCATAAAATATTTGTAAACATTCGCGTCTGACATTAACCAGCTGATTTACTTTATGGACGCCACATTTTTAGAAAATAGTAGTATCAATTCATGCCACTTGTAGCGCACGTGTTTCAAAGTACACCATTAACGATAGATTTATTAAATAAATGTAAGTATCCCTTGTATATTTTGATTTGTAATATAATATCATCTTCGAAGCTGTCAAAATTGTATGTTAATTACACTCTGTCGTTTATGCTAAGTCATACAAAATATACCACATTACATTTCAGTAACAATACTCCCATTCCTTCTACCCCGTTTATAAACTCATCCCACACAGGTGACACTGTGCTTGGAATTAATTTGAACAAAGCTCTGTTAATAAAGCAAAATAAATTACCATTATTGGTTAACATATTGACCAACATCGCCTGCCATTTCAGAAACTGGCATGAGCCCAGTATCACCAGAATCTACATTATGGCCTATATGATCCCCAAATTGTTCCAATCTAGAATGAATATCTGCAAGTGCATCCATTTGATGAAGAGTCATATCGCTAGTTTCTGGAAGACTCTCTTGAGCTGAATAAATTCTTCGTAAATTCAGTCCCATCATTTCCAATTGAACTTCTGCGAGTTCACGCAACAACTCAACGGATACTGCCATGTAACATTGAGGTCGAACCTCTTTCAGAACGGCACTCAAAGTTTCCAAAGCATCTGCGCGTAGTTTCTGCACGGCATACTGACTAATAGTAAAGTATAAAGAATTAATATAAAACTATAGATATTCAGGTAGTCAATTATTTTATACCTTTCAATGTCCTCTTCATAAAACGCTAAATAGCGATACAATTCGCTAAGATCCAAAATCGCATTAATGTATTCCATTGGATGATCACGTAGAGTGTAAAAAGTTTTGGCTCTTTTTAGCCACGAATGAGTGTATATAAAAAGATCTCTTGCTTGCGCTGTCGTTTCAATATAGGATGCGGTCACCTGTTCTTCGTATTCGATTAACTTCAATGATTCAAATACCAGGAATGGACCTAGCGAGTCAATAAGCCTTTTAGTTGTTACTGAAAATTGTTGATTGATCAGTTTTAATTATATTATTCTTCTTACCTTGGTATTCTTCTGCATTTAATTTTTCTGGTCTATTTGACTCTGGCTGTTGTACGTTTTCTGTCGACTTTGGTATAGACTCAGATACTGGATTCACTCCGAAGACCGTTATTGCAGGACTTTCGTAAGTTCTGTCGCCAATGCCTTCTTGACAAAGGTCAGATTCCTTATCAGTGATATTCGCATTTTTTGAAATTATGCCCGGCGCGCTTGTCTTTTTAATATCATCTTTAAACGGCAGTGTCCACAGTCGTTCTAAAAGTTGACTAGGCTCACCACAGAAGTGAGAAACTATATTTGTTTTTGAAACACTAAAGAGGAAGAGTCCATATTTTACCCAATTTTTGGCTACATCAGCAAACCTTTGTTGTAACTCATCCCATCTATAGAAAAATAACAAATATGTGAGTAATTTTATTTGAGCCGCAAAACTTTGAAGAGATATTTGTTACTTTTTAATTGTGTTGTCAGACGATTCTACAGCTTTGAGTTCCTTTTCATGATTGTTTGCAGGACTTTCGTAAGTTCTGTCGCCAATGCCTTCTTGACAAAGGTCAGATTCCTTATCAGTGATATTCGCATTTTTTGACATTATGCCCGGCGCGCTTGTCTTTTTAATATCATCTTTAAACGGCAGTGTCCACAGTCGTTCTAAAAGTTGACTAGGCTCACCACAGAAGTGAGAAACTATATTTGTTTTTGAAACACTAAAGAGGAAGAGTCCATATTTTACCCAATTTTTGGCTACATCAGCAAACCTTTGTTGTAACTCATCCCATCTATAGAAAAATAACAAATATGTGAGTAATTTTATTTGAGCCGCAAAACTTTGAAGAGATATTTGTTACTTTTTAATTGTGTTGTCAGACGATTCTACAGCTTTGAGTTCCTTTTCATGATTGTATAATACATAAATGGCAGCAGCCAAATGATGTCTAGCTTCTCTGTAAAGAACAATACGTCGTCTTTATTGATTCTATTGCACTTTATACTAATTAGAAAATATTCATTTAAAAGTTTTACTATACTTAAATCTATTCTTGCTAAGAAAATATGACGCAAGCTTGGCTGACTTTGTTGCCCACATTGTTACATCTCCATCATGAGTTTCAAGCTGTCGTTTAAGTACTTCATGATGATATTCAGCAAATTTATCATATAGCTCTTGTTTATTATATATAAATCCAAGCATTTGCAAATTATTTGTTACTAAACGTTCCAGTTTGTTGCTGGTATCTGTAGGTGGCGGTAAATTCTTATTTGGAGAAAATAAATCGTCGCTTGTGTAAAATGAAATTTTTGAATTTTCATTTTTCAATTTCCTATACGTAGATTCAGCAAATTCTAGTAGATCTCGAGGCTTATCAAATTCTGATTGTTTCGTGAGAAGATAAGCATAATGGTTAATTATACGAAAGGCCAGAAATATTATCTCAGATTTTGAAATAACGTCATTTACGTTATCGAGCGCTGTTAATAAGATATTCTGTGCCAGTGCTTCTTCTCCTAAACTGATGAGAAGTTTCGATTGCTCGTAAAAAAGTGTAGTTTTCATTGCCAATAAACGTAAATAGAGTGAGTCATGAACAACTATCAAATTATCTATTTTTTCGATCATGAGATCAATCATAATCTTCATCTCAGTGGAAGGTTCGGTAACGTTATTATCAACAGGAATGTCCAACTTCTGCAATATTTTGATCTGCTGATATTGATCGTGAAGAAGTTCAAAATCACATTTCTTGCTCTCTTCCATCTTCGTCTTGTTTCCTTAACTTTTTGGATTGTTTTATAAAAACTGACTAAGATATACAGAGGTTTCAAAAGGACAGATAACTAATTCATGTGAAACATTGACACTAGATGACACTTCACTTTCATTTATTTAAACAAAATAATTATTATAATATCGTTAGCCTCCTAGTTAAGCCACTCACTCAGCATTGAAGTTGAAGTTCTCAGGATTTTAGGGAAAATATTTGTTTCACTAATATGAGAAGGGGTATAGTATTAATATAGAATAGTACTGGGTTCAGACTTAAAAACAAAGTATTTTATTTACAATTAATAGCATTATTGTCTCTTTCCTTTCTTAAACTTCTTCTTGTTCTTGAAACCATTATTCTTCTTAATACCCTTCACGACACTCTTTTTCCTCTGCTCGGGTTGGCTTTCCAGAGCATCTCGCATCACCTCAACAGCTTTGCGAGAGTCATTATTCAGATGTATTTCCAAATTCGTATCCAAATACTTTCCAGAAAAGCCTTTAGGAAAGAGTGGCTTTGCTACAAGACTCTTAAGATGATTTTTCTTTGCCTTTAGTTGACGCTTCAGATCAGCACTCTCTTTCGTCTCCATAGTAGTTTCTCTATACAGATTATTACAAAAAAATTTAGTGTCTTGAATAATTATGTAATCTGATACCATACATGTTAAACAAATAATAGTGTATTATATATACATTGGAATTACTTACAATTGATCGTCATCTAATACAAGATCCATTTCTTCTACTGCTCGCTGTAACCACCCTTTCTGAGCATTATCTCTACGACATATTAATTCCAATTTATCAATTTCTCGGGCTACATTTACTCGTTCCTTTACAGCAATTAAAAGTCTATCCACTACAGGAAACGTGGGCAAATCTTCCGCTATAAACATAATATAATTATTTAGAAAATATATTCAATGTAATTGATGGATTTTGTGTACAGTAAACAAAACTTACTGCGTCCAAGTGTCTTGCAAAGTCTAGTATAGTATTGTAGTTCGGAGGGTTCCATCATTAGAACCGTTATTCCCTCTTTTTGTGCTCTTGCAGTTCTACCACTTCTATGTACATAACTCTGAAATAATACCAAATGCATTGTTAAATAAATAAATTTCTATGATATAATAATTCGTTAGATAAATATATAGGTATAAAATACCTCTGACGTTCTAGGAACTTGATAATGTATAACGTGTTCTACATTTGGAATATCTAATCCTCTTGCGGCTACATCTGTTGCTATGAGTAAGCCATTTTCGTCCGCTTGAAATCTAAAAAAAACATATATTTTTGTTATTCTTCTAATGACTAATTAGCCAAAAATTTATCCTACAGATAAACGCGTAAGACATGAAAATGCTTGGTTAGCTGGGGATTTATCCGAAGGTGAGGAAATTGGACATAAACCTGCATGAGAAAATTTCAACTATACCTTTCCAAGTTTTTCAGACGTTGACGTTGTTGCATACTTGCGTGCAAAGGTAATGGATCACAATCCAAAATACCTAAAAGTGTTGCTAATCTTCTAACACAGCCGATACTATTACAAAATACTAAAGTCCGACCCGCATGTCTTTTAAGAAAATAATATAAATAGTAATCTTTATGATCTATAGTACACGCTATACGACACTCGGTCAAACTACCGGCAGTTCCTAAAACGTGACAATCATTAGTAATGACATTTTTATTTGCTCGGTAGTACTTCGAATAAAATATATCGTTCAATTTGATAATTACCCTTTTCTTTTGTGACATCTACTATTTTAGGATTTGAAATTTTCAACATCTCTATCACTTTCGCTAACTTTTGACTCTGCGTCAACTTGGATATCTTACTTTTTACATTCCTACTTTTCTTTCGTTGTAAATATTGGGGAATGTCATGTACCATAGTCAACGTTGCCGAAAATACGAAAGTTTGACGTTCCTTTCTTTTATTTTCATCGGTGTAGATTCTTTCTAAAATTTTATGAAGTTCTTGAAAATGACCCCTTTCCAACATTCTATCAGTTTCATCAATAGCCAAGTATCTAAAACATTAAAAGTATATTATAAGTTCTTATGTTTTAGACGGTTATAAGTTTGACATAAAGAAGAAAATTATTATAATTACTTAATAGAATTAATCTGGCTAAGGTGGGGATTACCCTCGTCCATAAGTTCCCATAACCGTCCTGGTGTGGCAATGACAATTTCTGGTCCTTTACTTAAAATTCTTTCTTGTTTTACAGCAGCCATTCCTCCAACTATTACAGCAACCTTGAATCATTTCAATCGGCGTGTAACAAATATTATTTTCAAGTATTTACAAATGCTGAATTGGGCAGCCATACCTTTATATCAGTATACTTGGCAGCTTTAACAATGTGATTTTTAATTTGAATAGCTAATTCCCTAGTAGGAGTTAAAATCAAGGCATACAATGGTTTTTTCAGCCGGGTTTGTAAATCTGCTGCAATCTTTATATTGTCAATGGCACGCACACAACCAACACTACTTTCGTTTATCATTTCATCCTCGATGAACTCTTCTCGCTCTTCAAAATTTGATTCTACAGACATATCGTCGTTGTCATCTATAAATATTATTGATGCCAATTAGTTGATTGTATATTTTTATCCATGCATTGTATATAACATGGGAAAGTAGATTTATACCATCCTCATCAGCTTCGTGTTTTACTCCACTATATGAATCTTCCTCTTTATCACTCTCCCATTTTAACGACCCTTCCTCCTCACTTTCTTCGTCATTGATAGTGCTCTCCTTCTCTTCCTTATCATCATCATCTTTCATAGATTCTAATTTTTTCTTCTTTAACTCCAAAATACCATTTAAGATTGGAATGCCAAATGCTAATGTTTTGCCACTGCCTGTTTCTGCAGCACCTAAAATATCTCTTCTACCAAGAATTGCTGGAGGCAAAGTCAATGACTGTATTGCTGTTGGTGCTATAAAATTTTGCACTGCTAATGCTTTTATAATAACATCTGGTACTCCAAGTGAAGTCCATGCATGGACATTAATATTAGATTCAATTTCATTGATGTCTTCTACTTCATGAGCAGACTGTTCCTCATTAACAGTGTCAATGCTTGATTTTTCTTTTAAATGATATGTAGGTATTCCTCTTTGTTTTTTCTTTTTCTTTAACTTATTTATATCTTTTGTGACTGTATTGTGTTTCTTTTTCTTAACGGCACGACTTTCAGAATCATCATTCCTCTCAAGTTCAACAGCACGTTTTTTCTTTGGTGTCTAATTATTGTAATAAAAGATTAGTGAATTAGAGTGTCTTCATAGAAATATTAAGTATTCGTCTGATATTTGTTTTCTTTACAAGCAACAATGGATAATATATACATGTAACAGAACTCATATTCTACAAAGTGGAACACACAATCAAATTGATGTTAAATAGATTTATAACTTACCTTTTTTGAAGTTGTATTTTCAGAAATAATTTGTGTTTTATTTTTCGTTTTTACCAATTTGTAATCAGTTAACTCTTCTATTCCAATTAAACCACCTATATCTTCGGAAACAATCGTACCTTCTAATGTTAACGGTACCCATCCAGCAGTGTCATTATTTTTTTTAACTTTCGACATTTTGATATCACTTGTTGAAATCACTAACTGCTGACGAAAAACAATCTTGTGTGATATATAACCTATGCAAAAGCACGTGTACTTCTTAGAGAAACCATTGACTACGTTCAGACGGTGGCTTGTTTCGATCTACTTATTACTGATCTAAGAGAATTGATCAATCAAAAATATTCTTTAAAAGTTTAAAATCTCTGATTCGTTAATTCCCTTAGATCAGTGATAATTAAATCAGAATAAGATCGCCACATAAAAGTAGTGATTGACTATAATTTCATCCAAAATAGTCTTCTTTTTTTTTTATTCTTCTTTCCTCTCCTTATGTGAGTAGAATACAACCTGGAGACACAACTATTCGACAGTGAATTTTAGAACATATCCAGGTTGCGGGATAAATGTAGTACATAATGTCCATGGAATATTAGTTGCAATATGTTTATTCTATCAGAATATACTGTAATCGTAATTTATTAAAAATAGAGAAGTGAGAGGATTTATATTCCAGTAATTGATGTACTTTATAATAAATAACTATATTGTATTAAACACTTAAAATGAATCATATATTTTATACTAGAATATTAGGAATGTCTTACATAAATCTATATAATACCCATTATCTCCATTACAGCTAAGTCGAATAACCTGAAAATAGAAATCAGCAATTAATTATTAACAGATAAAAGTGATTATAAAGAATATTGTTTATTAAAATTCTCACTTAGATTTGATCTGATCCCCAGGCACATAGAATGGATTACACACAGCATTTGCATACGCTGCATGTAATTTCTTAAAAATCTATTAAGAAAATTGATAATATCATCCTCCAAGATATATATATATAAATAGCAATTGAACCAATAATAATAAATAAATTAAGGTACCGTTCTAACTTCGTTGTCTCTCAATAATGTGTTAGTTGATTGCAATATCACAACAAATTTGATTTTAGTATTTGTAGCATAACCAAATCTGGAATTATTACAATAAATAATTAGTAAAATAAAATATTTATATTTACAATGTTGGATTTCTCAGTATTATTTGTGCTGAATTGTTACATTTTGTGATCTTCCGCTGAAAATAATAATCCTAAAAACAATTCTCGTACATCAGAAGCTGTCTTATTCCCAACATTTAGTTTTTCTTCAATGATATCAATTGTTGTATGAACTTTATAATGGAATTGAAGTGCTGTATTTTCATCCAAACATTTTATGTATTTTGGTGAATTCTGCAAAAATGTGAATGATTTCATTACCATTTGAAAATATACATAACCTGAAGTTATAGTTATTATTGTGAAGTACTTCCTTACATCTTTACCTATTACTGCTACGCATACGGCCATCATATAATAGTAAATGAGTATCTAATATAAATAATAAACTTTCACATTCAGAATATGATTATTTTTTATTTAAATTACTTCTCGTGATTGCGATAATTTGTTATCTTTTACAAAAAGAGGTTAGGAAGTCTATCATTTAGCTCGCCACTAATCACGAACTATATCCACGTCGGTAAATACAACAAAATTGTACAGAGTAAATTATTAAAATAGTATATTTGAACTAAACCGCAGAAAACTACTCTTTGAAGTTAATTGTGCATTTTTGAAACTGTGCAACTGAAACTAAAAACAATAAATTCTCACGAAATTAGTATTACCATATATTTCTTTTATTGCTACATCGATAATTGAAATTGTGAATAAAAATTAAAGTAAATAAATGAGCTTGTTCTAGCGATTTTATATGACCTGGAGCACGTAAGTATGCTTGAAAATGACCTGAGAGCGTTGAAAAAATTGTTGTCTCGATCAAATGCAATCAATAATCAGAGAAACGATAATGCTCTCAGCGGTTTCGGTTCATTTTCCAACAACTTAGTAGTATATAAAATCGCTGAGACCACAAACCTAATAAAAAAAATTGGCTGTATTTAGCAAAATAGCGTTAAGGGAATAAATACATTTGATTGGTCAAATTTCACCATAATTGCAAGATTTAAGATTTAGAATGCTGTTCCATGGTTCTCGGAAAACAGAATGGAAAGTCCAAATGGTGGAAAGAGACCAATCAGAATGATGAGGAACAATCCTGATTGGTAGACCTCCCACTATTACTGTCTTTCCGATTCCATTTTCCGAGGACTATGGAACAGTAACCTTATTCAGATCAAAGCGATTGACAGAGATAAACGACCGATAGATCAAATGTTTCGGATTTCATTTATGACAAGAACCATTCAATGCTACTTGTGCGCTGCTCACTGCCTGCCTGTCGCTCTTGGTTTGTAAGGATATTTACTGCTGTTTACACTCAGCACCACCGTTACATGGAAAACGTCGACAGTCAAAAGTACACTTGTGGCTTATCGGCAGGATGCAGTATATATATGAGTTGTACCACAAACGACGGTTTTTAAATTTAGTTTCAGAAATAAAATATAACATCACAACTTCATACGGC